TAAATAAAAAAGCTTTCCTTTTTATAAAAGTTTGAACCTTAAAATTTGTCCAGAAATTGTTTTAGTAAAATTGAGATCTAAACTATTTGATTAAGACTGATTAGTCTTCTAAAATGTTTTTAGTATCACAACTATTTTCTTCATGTTGTGCAAAATTACATTGAAGAAGGGCCATTTGGTCAAACTGCTAACTCTCTGTCAAGTGTCTGCTGTAAATATTTCTTATTGTTGTTTGATTTGTCTTTGATGTGTCAGTTTTTGGCTGATGAGTAATTGTCTGAGTGCTGATAACTTGTTGGAGTCAAGTGCAGTCCTGAGTACTCCGTATGAATAAAGCATTTGGTTCCTGCAGCCCGGAGAACCTCAGATGTGACTTTTCTTCATTCCAGTTGGTAAACCTGTCAATTAGCTGCATTTGAAAAGTGATTTTTGATTAGTGCAATCAGTAAACATGGAATCTTTTCTGTGATTGCCACGCTGATTAGGTAAATTGTCACTTGAGAAGCTATTGGCATAGCTTGGTTTATGTGACCTTAGAGCTCTAGAAAAAGGATAAGTTTTTAAAGACCAAAGGAAAAAATTAACTGTCATTTTTCCTCTCTTGCCTGTACCTTCTGAAGTGCAATTCACTATCTCAGAGGTTTTTTCCTCCCTCTCAAATGGATCTTCTGTTAGAGCCATACAAATGAATGATAATAAGTTTGTTTTACTGTCTACTTCATTACTTATCAGCCAGGAGATAGTTCTGCTTTATGAATACTTAAAGGCTATATATGTTACTCGGAGCCACGTATTTGCTTAAAGGTAGCCTTGATGTTTTTCTTTGATCCTTTTTTTTTTTTTGAAATCTAGGAATGTTTTAATAATTGCATTACATTTTTTTTAAGTTTAGAAAGTTTGCTTAGGTTTTAATTTTAAAAACTGTAATTTTTTGCATGTGCTGAGTTTATGTGAAAAAAATTATAGAGAGGAAAGTACCTGGCACACTGGAAGTGAAGAAATAGGAACTTGTGCTGGGTTTTTGAGGCACTTACAGGTGGACTATTGAAAAGCATTCCCCCTCTCCAGAAAAGCATTTATATTTAGTGAACTTCACATTCTAGTTCTACTTAGAAATATTGCCGTGCTTAATCTTACATTTAGTATGTTTTAATCTAATGAATATGTATTACTTACTGTGATGGCTTTTCCTCCATTTGTACTGGTTCTAGGAGAAAATATAGAAGCTTTTTTTCTGTCTTTATTTTTCACAAAACATTAAGATAAGTATTTCTTAAGTTTTGTCTTAATGTAGATGTGTATTTTTTATTATGTTTTCTTCAATTTAAAATTTATTAGGATCCAGTGTGAAAGCTTTCATAAGTGCCATTGTGAGTGTATATTCTGTGATTATACCATACACAAAGAGATATCATGGAATTAAGTCTTAATGGTAGAAAGGGCTGTGTT